TATTATCATAATAGTTTAATAACTGAATTCAAAATCTTTCTTTCTCTAAAGGTGACAAAATGAAAATTTTCGTATTTTTGGGTGCTGAATTCTAGATAGACTGCGATGGTTTTATTTCTAGATACGTGAATATCTTGGCATACGCTCAACCAATTGATAACATCTAGTGCATGCCATCAGCAATGCCACAAACATAATTTATGAGCAGAGACGGGTATAATCGTATACACATGTTATTGGCCGATTAGAACTGTGTTTCGAATGTAAAGAACAAGAGCGTCTGCATCATATGATGTTTAGCAAATGATATCCATAGGCGGCGCAATCATAGGGTACGTATTATTTATTTTATTGCATTTCTTGCACTTTTCAACATTTCTCGGTTATACACGTAAGCCATTTTTGACACTTGAAAAAGTAATGTAAACACTATCGCTTAAACGTTAATACCAAAATCGGAATCACCTGGGGCGAATTGCGTACAGCGCACAATGCGAATGACGCTAGAGATTACAGTAGCCCAGCGATGTAAGGGTTTTAAATACCTTCTACAACTTCAGTAATTTTTTTCTCGGAAACTATAAGGATTTTACAAATTTTTTTTACGATATTGACTCCATTTTTCATGTCGCATCTATTCCTAATTTTTTTTTTGGATAAGTTGTAAATCACCCTGCAAATAACTTCCTTAATTGAGAATTGAGGAAAATTCCTTTATATAAACTTTCTGCCTTCGAAGTCAAACTCTCGTTCCTAATTTTAACGGCTCTTAAAGGGCGGGACCTATAGTTTACATCAGCACCGAAATAAATAACCCGTGGTCCCTCCTCCACCCATCGACTGTATCACGGCATCCTAATTACGATCTCCATCGGCAATTAACGAGCAATCATTAACCTGCCCGGACGATAACTCACGTTCGATTTGTACTTTCTCGCAGGGAGTACGTACGGGAAACGGCGAAAAAAAACGTCACGTTTCTATTAACATGAATGAGCTATATATCGGGGCCGTCGAGAGGATCGAGGGAGAAATACAAATGTCCGTGTACCGGTCGTGCCGAGATGCTAGATGTACTCGGGCGCAAATAGAGCGGGGATGCCCTTACAAGGAAGCCGGGACAGTAATGTCTCATTTATAAGCCTTCTGTCACCGGGCTAATGAACGGAATAGCAATAGGAATGCATCCACGGCCTCTCTGCCCAACCGTTGGTACGGGGGAGGGTCGAAATTTAAACGGAAAGAGTTTAGAGTTTGTAACATCCACTGAATATCAGTTTTTCGAAAACAAAATCATATTTTATCAACACAAACAGTTTCCTGAGATCTAAATATCAATATTAACTTTATAGTGTTTAATTGCTTTTTATCTGTATAGTGTAGGTTAGTACTTCAGTCTACTGACCTATCATCGGATTTGTTTGATTGTGGAAATCACGTGGAACATCAACCAATGAGAGAAGTTCTTCACGCATGTAGTGAGTCCGAAGCATTCTGGTCCTGCACGTGCACAAGATGCACAGGGTCGGCTTACATTTATGGTAAATTGTCTTAATTAATTTTTTAGAAAACAGAAGCATTTTGACCATCAGTTGCTTAATAAATGTTCTCATTCTCTTGCCCTCTATCACCCTTTTCATGGAAGGCACTTATTTCAGACACATCCTGTATACATTTTTAGGGACAGATTGTTGAAAACACAGCAAAAAATGTGTCGATTTACACTACGACAATAAATCACATATTATGACACATTGTAATAAGAAAAATGCGTTGAATTCGATGAAAAAACAAAAATTGATTATTTTTATTCATTTTGACAGACGCCATGTGACACAGAAATATGATTTCTCTGCAAGAAAGTGTTGTAACATTGTCTGAAATTAAAAGAAAACCCTTTTTGATTGACAAAATAAAAATGAAAATTAAATTGTTCAGCTTTATTTGATAATTTAAAAAGAAGGAAGATGAATCAATTATCTCTTCGGCATATTATTCGTGATCAAATTATGTAATTTTGTCCTAATTTGAACGACTTCGTATCTCTTAAGATAACCGGGCGGAGGTACTTATGTATCATGTTAAAATTATTAATTAGCTTTATACTTTAGATGTCTAGTGTGATGATGAAATAAGCTAATTGAAACAAATTCAAAAATATTTTCTAAAAAATCGTATCAAATAAAATAAATCGGTGGTAAAACTATTCAATAATTTCATTGGAACTTAGGAAAACTGATCAGTACTCATCTAGACATTGATTAGTAATATACATATTCAAACTTTTCGTAATACCTGGTATCTGCCAATACGCGTACCTGATGTCTATCCCGATACTCAGCATCTTTTTATTTATAAGTAGGTGAAAAAATTAACGTACTTACGTTTACTGTGAACAATTAACATCTGTGAAATTCTGCAAATGCAAATAGAAAGTTTTAAAGCCATTCACTTGTTTTATGTGCTTTTAATTATTTTGCCATTATGTCACTGATTTATGTGTTGCGTTTTTTTACGGGGTTCTACAAAGAAAATGACGTATCGTCGGCAGATGCAAGTAGAAAGCTGAAGTTTATTTCATTTTCCTGGTCTGCATAAACTTTTAATAATTCTAATACTGAGTTTCAATTTATGTTACGGTCGTGAATACACTTTCTCGGAGAAAAATAAGATTGTTGAAAGCAAAGATACAGAATATGGACATATCCTTCTGCTATAATGCAAAAATTTTCATTTTGCGCACCACGCACACAGCGTTGGAGTTAGATCGGTTGAAACCTTTCATTGAAAGGTGTCGTTACTTCTCGAGTACTGTGTGGAGGTGCCCCATCTTGAAGATAAAACATGCGTGCCCAAACTTGTAATGCCATATTGTCCAATAATTCAGGCAACCGGTTCTGCAAAAAGTCAGCATATGTTGGTCCATTTAGTCGTCCTTCAAAGAAATAGGAACCCACAAGTACATCACCTATTATGCCAGCCCATACATTTACCGAGAACCGATGTTGAAAATGAGTTTCCCTAATCGCGTGAGGATTTTCATCGGCCCATATGTGCATATTATTAGCGTCATCACGGGTAAATGTCGCCTCATCTGTTACACAAACATAAGCCGGAAAGTCTACTTGATTGGCACATTGCCGTAAAAAACATTTGTAAAAACGCATTCGTTGATCACAATCCCGGGGAAAAATCTATTGAACTGGTTGCCTTAAGATGTGGTGTACGGTACGACACTTCCTACTTGCTGTGCGAGTCGTCGAGTACTAATTGTGGGGTCTTCTTCAAGATTTTCCAATACTGCATCTTCAACATCAAGGTTCACTTGCTGATCACGTCCTTCTCCTCGAGGAATAACACTTCCCGTATCTCGCAGCCGCTGAACGCACTGTAGGACTGTATTTGCACATGGGGGCGATGTTGTTGCCATCGTTCCCGGTACAACCTAGTCACCGCGAGTGCATTTTCTCCGACGGCTGCACCATACACTAACACCATATCGACACTTTCGGAAATGCATTATTTTCTCGGTTCATTGTAAAACTAGTTTGTGCACAAACTAAAAAATTAAGCAAAGTGAGAAAAAATAATTTCGTTTTTTAATGTAATCGGCACGCTATTCTTATTTTTTACTTCTTTATAAGAATTACACTGTCACTATCGTAGAATTACGAAATAAAAACTTTTGTCTAGAATCTTTCACTTTTTACACTGACGGGTCGATGGACGATGCTTAATATTTAATAATTAAGTGAATAATGAATTCAATACAAATACAAAATCAGTTGACTGCACAAATTTTTTGACAGAGTAACCTAACCTACGTTCTTTTAGTAGGTATTATTATTATTAGATTATACCAATTTAAATTATAAGGTTGCATCTCGGGTCGCATAAAAACATTTCCAAAATTTTTAATAAATAACACAGGGTCGGCCTTCATTTTCGTTGAATAAATGAATTTTAATTTACAAAAAAAAAACGCGAAGATAGAAATTTTTCGTATAAGAGTTTTCTATTACAAATATCACTAGGAAGCTGTAGTTTAATTTTTATAGATTATACATGCCATACTCTGTACAGGGTGTCTCATAATTAGCTGCCAACCCTGAACAGGCCGATTCTATGATCAAAATTAAGTAAAAAAGTTCATATGAAATGCTTGACCAAAGTGGGATTAATTCAAGACCGATTTTCTCGTTAAAGATAACGATTTGAAACAAGAGTACCTTTTTAACGTAAAACAGTTCGGGAAAACGGAATTTGCTGTCCAATTGGTTAAAAAGTCAAAGATGGAAAAGTTACACACGCAAAGTACCAAGGGCCCCCCCGTACCCACCCCAATGGACCTTGTGGAAATAAATGGATTAGTCCATCAAATTGCTCATCAAAATTTAGCTGTGTATACCAAATTTCATTCATTTATCACAACGCGATTGAGAGATATTGCAAAAAAATGATTTCCATTCCTCCCTCTTCAATGGGTCCCTGTGCCCTTAGGAAGCATTTCCGGACCCATGTTCATATAAACTTTTTTACTTATATTTGATCATAGAATCGGCCTGTTCATGGTTGGCAGCTAATTATGAGACACCCTGTATTAATAATTTTTTAAAAGTTTTCAGGGTTTATGATCTAGTTCGACTGATCTACAGTGTATTAAACAAAAGAAGAAATGTACAATAATATATCAACAAATTTAATAAAAAAAATAATAATAATACGCAAAATAAAGGATTAATCTAAAATATGTGATAACGTCGAAGTATTGATGTTTTCCTAGGCTTTTTGCAAATACCTGCGAACGGAAGTTTTGCATTAGCAGATAATAATTGTTAGATTAATTCGAATTTCACGTGCTGATAATTACCAACCAGACAGATATTAATAAATAACTGTATCGCCGTTTAAGAAAAGTACCGAGTTATTAACTGTATTCCCGATCATCTTTGAACGGTTGTATCTAGTTAATTACGGTTTTCGTTCCCACTTATACTTACTTATCTCTGAATGTACTAACTGCACCTCTCGTCGTCGAACAATGACTACTAAAACTGCCATATCATTAGCTTCTGTTGTGACCGAAAAGAGGTTCTCGCTGCTAGATTCAGAGGACCTTAATTTACGTTTAAGAAGCGTAAGGCACATTTTTCAGGAGTGCCCCGTCTTTACAGGCTCTGAACTCTGGCTATTATTGCTACTAAGGATGGTAATAACTCATTTCAGTAACTGTACCCGACTTATTTTACGCTCGTAAGTTTTTAAAGCAGCCTGGGTTGTGAGTGAGCTGTCACGTAAATTTTATTTTATTATTAACCTCGAATGTATATCAAAATAAATGCGGGGCCAGTTTAAGAAGTTGTGAATAACTTTCTTGTTTGATACATGTTAGATATTTCGAGGAAAATTAATTAAGAAAACCGTAAATGTAAGCCAACCCTGTGCACCTTGTGCACATGCACGGCGATAATCTTAGAGTAGAACAGCATCAGCCATTACTGTACATGCATGGTGTGAGGTGTGCATGTGTATTACTATGGATGAAATGGATAGTTTATTATTCGAATGAGGTTTGGAAAGTTCCACAATACCAAATCCTGATGAGAACTGAAAATATTGGCCCTATTATACAGAGTGATTCACAACTTATCCAAAACAATTTGGGAATAGATGCGGCATGAGAAATGGAGTCAATATTGTAAAAAAAATTTTTGTAAAATCCTTATAGTTTCTGAGAAAAAAATTATTGTTAAGTTATAGCACATTAAACCACTACATAGCTGGACAACTCTCTGGAGTCTCTAGCATCATTCGCAATACGCGTGGAGAGCCATGTGACTCCTAATACTGAAATCCGTCGTTGCGGTAGTTTTTACCTGTTATCTGTGGTATTTACATCAGTTTTTTAGTAGTTACTGTCAAAAATGGCTTGCGTGTATAGCAACTCAGAGTTGATGGATATCGTTTTAATTTATGGTGAAGCAAGACAACATTTGTATTATGGTGAAGTATTTGTGTTATGGTGAAGAAAGACATCATTTGTGTTAGTTCGTAGAAAGTGAGTAAGACGGACCCAAATGTGTTTACACGTGAGTGGATAAAATTTTGAACAATTGCTATTGCAGCATCAGGTATGTCAAATGATTTTATTATTTAAAAACACAAATTAATTTTATTAATAATTAATAAAGGCAAAAGCATTTGAATTTGCCGATATAAAATAGTTGCGATAAAATTCTATTTACATATTTCTTTCCTTGCGAAAGTTTTTGTCCGTTTTTATCACGCCGCCATATCGGTCGCATTGTGCGAGGTCAGGTTTTACAGTGGACCAGTTTCCAGTGCCGTGCAGAAGTGTATTTTTAAATCAATTTTGAACTGACCTTTTTGATTTTTACTTTACAAAATTGTATCTGTAAGGGTCCCCTGTACATCCAGAATTTTTTTTTACACCTACAGTATACACCCTGTATACTGAACTATGGAGATGATTTAAAATATTTGTATAGACAGTGGTCTTATAATAAATATTGACTAGTATAATACGAATCATATTAAATCTGCCAGTAGTAAGTTCATATGGTAAGTCTGTCGTTTGTGCATTAATTTGCATGTAGACGAATTGTGTATGGAAATATATAAAAATGCATTGCTAATTGCTAGTTAACCAACACTTCATAAAATATAAAAAAAAACAGAACACAAAACAATATGTTTGTTATTATTATGTCATATGCATTTATTAGTGTTGGGGTTGGTAGTTATAGGCGAGCGGTGCACCCCTAAAAAGACGCATAAAAAAACGAGTGGACGACCACGAAGGGGGGCCAGGATGAAACTTTTTCTAATCGCTATATTACGTTGTTGCGAACAAAAAACCTTAATGACATTGTTCTGTATCGATGGTCAGTAATTTGTTATTAACAAAAAAACTTAAAAAATCGATATGAAAACAAATTGGTTATGTATTTCGGGCAAAATAAACACTTTTTAACTTTTGTGATTTGTGAATTGCGACTGTGACTTGTTTAAACAAGTCACAACAAGTGAACATCGTACGTGAAGGCTTGCCAAAGCGCGGTTAGTTTAAATTTTGTCATATTAACTCCGAAGAAATCTTTAATTCTAAAATACAATTAACTCTAATAAATATTTTTCCGAATAAAATTATTTCCGATTGTATAATACAAAGACATGTCCGAAATTAAGAATATTTTTTTAAATAAACGTCGATTTTAAGATACATGCTGCAAAATGATGCAAAAATGTTATGTCTGAATTAATATCTTCTGAACAATCAAGATATTGAAACGAAATTAGGTACACACTATACTTGACCAAAATGGCATTCAGTCCAAAAACTACACCTCAATTCAAACCAGTGAGCCATTTTCCTCATGAATTATAGTATGTCATTCATTACCTACTTTTTTTTTTAACAAATTGGTGATTTGTAAAGATGATACGTTTAGATAAATTTAGAACGACATTAAGGATTAAGGATATACCAAATATGACATTTAATTTAACTCTGTTTTCTGTTTTACTTTTTGACCCTGAGAAAATTACCATTTAAACTAGGAGAACGCTATTTATTTACGAGGAACTTGATCTTTAAATCTGTTGTATAAGAATGTTGCGGCAATTAGCCTAGTTTGATTAGCCATCGCGAGGCATACCAATTGATATTCCACGAGAAAATAAAAAAAAATGTGTCAATAAATTCAAACAGGTACCAGTGTTATGGTGATATGGGGGAATTAATGTTTTTTCTGTACTTCGATTTTTATTTAATTATTTTAAACGCAATATTATTGCTGGTCTGGATTTATGGTCACCTGAATCATTTGTTGAAGAATTCACTGTCTACATGCGCGAACTGTTTTTCCTTTTCGAGAAAAGGCTGAATGGCATTGTCCTTGTAGAGAAATAATTGAGTGTAACTATCTACAAGGAACTAGAGGCGACAGGTCTTGCCACAACTACTTTGATTAATCAGAGTAACGTTGAAGTCCTTTTGATAAATCGCTGAAAGTTACAGACAGACAGTTTACTCTCCATTAGGAATGTTTACAAGGCTGTAGCTTTAATAGTTCGTAAATCATTCAAAATGACACCAAAGTATTTCCATGACGAATATCTTTAATCAGATATTTTCGTTGAAGTTTAATCCCAAGTTACATTTTCTGTTACCATAATTAGGTGTGTAATTGTAACAAGAAAACCTAAGATTCTTGTAGTTTTGTGTTACATTGGTCACTAACCACCAATAGTCAAACTCTATAATCTTGAAATTCTCTACCCTCAACCCCATAACAAAACCTATAGCTACATAATACCATAAGCCAGGTAAATGAAGAGGCTTGTATCTAATGACGATCTTCATGGGTTCCAAAACCTTGGAATGAGGAACTCAATAAACCTATTATTCCTTATCAGAAACCACCATAGTCTTATGAGGCCAATAACCCCATAATATTGGGTACAAATTGAACAGGACGAGGGAATTGAAACGATCACGATAATTATGGTTGACTAACCTTGGAACAAAGTCTTAAATACCTTACAGGAAATCACCATAACATCATGCATCCAAACCCCATAACCCTCTGAGATTGGTAATGCAGTGAACAGGACGAAAGAATATAAATCTGTTCATTGCATTGCGAATCTCATATGGGGATCCCGGATTTATGATTTTATGGTGATATCTGATAAAGAATTACGTTTTCATATGAGTCTTAGTTCCAAGATTATGATGGTTATTTGAATTCCTTCATCTTGTTCCCTTCGTTCCCAGTTTCATAAGGTTATGGCTCATACAGTTTCATTCCAAGGTTTTGGAACTCGAGCTTCCTGATATTGCTTTTTAGATTATATTACCAAAATATTTATAATTAGATTAACTAAAAGTGTGTGACTATATTATATAACTAAAACTATTAAGTTTTTTAATTGTAACAACACTACAGTATCAGCTTTAATAACGAGCGTTCAAATAAAAACGTGGTCGAAGTTGGCTCTGACACATTGGACGTAGGGAGTAGCTTATATAGCAGCTGTCAGTTTCAATAACGTTAATGACTATATAACTTTATTTTAAAGAATAATCGTGATAACAATAACAAACAATTAAAGGAGCTGCGGAAAGTGTCCCCCTCCTTGTTATAACAATAAATTAAAGCAGCTGCTGAAAGTGTCCCCTCCTTGTACCAAGCACTTTTCACACCTGTTCCTCAAAGAATTAAAGACATTTTCTAAGATGCGTCCATTTCTAAAGTAGGACTCTATGATAAACACTTTTTGTTCTTGAGAAAACACCATTTTAAACGCTTTTTAAAACGAAAATATTCAAATTGATAGCGGCGATATAGCGCTTTGACAGATGACGTTTAAGTTCATTTGCTATACGCTACGCCCTACGTCCAAATTTTCAGAACCAACTTGACCACGTTTTTATTTGAACGCTCGTTATATATTATAAGATTTTCAGTAACAATGTTTATAAGGTCTTTGACGAGAGTATTTAATGTCACCAATGATACTTATGTTTTACACATGATGTATGAAAATTATTGTTAATAACAACCTCAAATTTGTAACACATCCATATTATTTTTGCTTGATAAATGTGTACTGCTTGCAGCATTATTCAAAGTGACTAATTTTTAAAATGAATAACAAAACGTTAGACTGGACTTGACCACTTTTTTTTCTAGTGAAACCACCGTCAGCTGGTCAACCTTCTCCAAATTAATTTCTAATCTGAAACTAATTAATTTATTTGATTTGATTATTATGACGATTATTATAGAATTAAATATGCACGGAGTTCTACCACATACCATACCAACAGAGCAGAAAATTCCACATCTACAAATATGTGATATCTGTAACATTAAGTTAAATAAGGGTAACAGTGGTAACCAATAGTTATCGCCAAGCTCATTGCGGTTACTTTTAACACTTTTAGCTTAGTCGATAAGAGTAATGTACTGAAATATGGCAACCAAACTACGTAAAAACCTCGCTATATAACTCATCTCATTATGAGTACATAAAAGTTGTGTGAGTGATGTTATAAAACCTGTATTGATAATTGAAAATCGAATTTCACACAGTGTAGAAAACTACTTGAAGTACAGGCA